GAATGACCTTTCTGTAGTAGATTTTTATTACTTTATCAAATTACTCAAAGTAGAGTATAATTTAGAGCATGCTGAAAGAAGAGGTTTTCGCTTTTTTAATTTTTTAAAATTTTTTTCTGTTTTACGATTTCATAGGCAAAACCAGAATTCCAATCATAACAATTTTCATTTTGAAATGGCTTTCTTTTCTTTTCTTTTTTTATTTTTTTAAGAGAGAGAGATTTTTTGCTATAGGGAGTATGCACTTGCTGGAGAGACAGAGAGACAGAAAGTAAGAAATCACCCCCCCCCCAGGGGATGTCCATGCCACAATCCCTTCTCCTCCATTCTTCTCTCAGGATCTTGGGCACGCGTGCACATGTACCCAGCGTGGGTTTTAAGTTCCAGGCCTCAAAGATCTACAATAGAACTACCATTTGATACATATACAGCTTTTTAAAAGGCACCCTTAAATGCAATGACTTGTGTTAATACAGTTTAATCTTCCCAAGTTCCCAAGGAGGTCCATTTCTATTGGGTCATCAGAAAAGTCATGAGACATTTTTGCATAGAAAAACACGCCATGGCTTTTCCAACAACCCAGTCAATGCCCGTTGGGGACAGCAGCAGCCATAACAGTTCGATTGCCCAGAAATGTTGGCAGATTGAAGGCCCATGTTCCTGATAGCGGTCCTACGGTTCATTTTGCCAAGAGTCAAACTAAGCAACCCTGTTCAGTTTTTCACACATCTGTTTGGGTTTTCTTCTTCCCCACTGAAGGGACCTGAGTCGTAGGAAGTGTAAGCTGGCCTCTCCATCACCACTTTCCATGCGTGACTTCCCCGCTCACCTTTGTATCTTCCGTTCCATCCTCCCATCTGCACATGACCGAGCCTAGCTTCCAAATGCCCTCCGTGGTCTGACGTCAAGTAGACGAGTGTGTTGTTCCGTAGACCAAGATCGTCCATAGCGTCCAGAATCTTGCCTGAAATAGGGGGAAAAGACAGATATGAGTAAAAATAATGACACGACGAATCGTTCAAACCTGCAGTTACCCCGTACAGAGATAGCTAAACAAGGCAAAGATGGGGACCAGCAGATGGCATCATGGCTATGTCGCTGGACTCCCATGTAGTCAACCATGGTTCAAGTCCTGGACCCAGTGGCTTAAAGTCACGCCGGGCGCGTGTGCATGCGTGCTCAGGATCCCGAGAGGAGAATGGAGGAGAAGGGATTGCAGCATGGCTGTCCCCCCTGGGGGGTGATTTCTTGCTTTCTGTCTCTCTGTCTTTCTCTGTCTTTCTGGCAAGATCATGCACCCTAAAGCAAAATCCTCTTAAAAAAAAATTCAAATTGCCTTGGGGCTGGCAGGTGGCATGATGGTTAAGGTGCTGGACTCCCACGTGGTTGCCCATGGTTAGCGTCTCGGACCTGGTAGCTTGCTGTCTCACTTTCTCTCTCTCCTTCTATCATCAAATTAAGGAATAATTACCAGTTAAAAACAATTTAAAAAGAGAATTCAAATTGCCAAGCCATAGGAAAAGAAATAAGCTCAGAGTCCCCCAAAAATAAGATACATACATAAATAGAAAATGTCCAGGCTTAAGGAAAGTGTGGTCTGTCATGTATGTAAACGTCCCTGTCTCACCCCTTGGGCACCATGTTCTGAGCGGGCAGAACTTGTCTTTCCCGTTTCCATGTGTTTTATGAGGTTCCCAAGGAAGGACGCAGCTGAGCACGTTTGCATTTCTATTGGGAAGAAATGATCAGCAGGTAGAAACATTCCAGGGCAGGCTTCTCCTTCCGCTTGGCGGGAGATCTTCAAAGACACAGACACAGAGCCCTCCATGCTGAAGCAGTTTGTGAATGTGCTCAGCATATCAAAAACCCTGTGCTTGGGAGTCCCCTAGGAGTGGGGGTGCTTCTTTCCCTCCTTCCTTCCTTCCTCTCTTTCTTTCTCCTTCTTCTTTTCTTTCCTTCTTGCCTTTCTCTGTCACTTTCTTTCCTTTTTCTTTTTTCTTTTTTTTCTTCCTTTTCCTTCCTTCCTTCCTTTTCTTTCTTTCTTTCTTTCTCTTTTTCTTACTTTCTTTTTTCTTTATTTCCTTAATTTCCTTTTTCCTTCCCTCCTTCCTTTCTCTTTCTTTCCTCCTTTCTTCTCTTTCTTGTATTTCTTTCCTTCATCCCTTCCACTCTCTTCTCTCTTCTCTCTCTCTCTTTCTTTCTCTCTCTTTCTTTCTTTCTTTCTTTCTTTCTTTCTTTCTTTTCTCTTTCCTCCTTCTGTCCTTTTTCTTTCTTTATTTATTTCCTTCCCTCTTTTTCTTTCTTTCCTTTCTTCCTTTCTCTCTACATATCTTTCTTCTCATTCCATCTTTTACTTTCTTTTCTTCCTTCTTCCTCCTTTCCTTTCCTCTTTTCTTTCTCTCTTTCCTCCTTTCCTCTCTTCCTGTACTTTTCTCTTTCTTTCTTTCTTTCTTTCTTTCTTTCTTTCTTTCTTTCTTTCTTTCTTTCTTTCTTTCTTTCTTTCTTCTTTCTCTTCCTTCCTCCCTTCTTTCCTTCTTCTTTCTTTCCTTTCTTTCTCTTTTTCTTCTTTCTTTCTTTCTTTCTTTCTTTCTTTCTTTCTTTCTTTCTTTCTTTCTCTTTCTCTCTCTCTTTCTTCTTTCTTTCTTTCTTTCTTTCTTTCTTTCTTTCTTTCTTTCTTTCTTTCTTTCTTCTTCTTTATTTCTTCCTTCTTTCTCACTCTCTGCTCACTCTGCCCTATGTAGTTACCCAAGTTCTTGCTACCCTAAGACACTCCAGTCACTGCAGGACGCCACCAACCTTCTGCGTCTGCCCAACAGGTCCAGCAGGGAACTCTTATCTGTATCTCATCTCCTGTTCACAGTATCGTTTCTCTTCCTCGGAATTGGACGTTCCCATCCTCTTACTTGATCTAGACGTGATCTCATAGCTTCCTTCCAATTTAGGGAGTAATTAGGCATGGAGAGACTTTCCCCTGGGTGAAGTAAGATTGTTAATTACATTTGGATTTGAGCAAGTAGGAAATCAGGTTGAGAGGGGACATTTTTAGAGCTCTCCTGATATCTGCAAAATGACAGCTAGTAGGAAGCTGAGACAGAATGGAAGCTCTCAGAGAAGGATCTGCCCCTTCTTCAACAATCACCTTTAACCTCTTTGCTTAGCATGAGATGGAGCGGAGACAGAATTCTAATTCTGGCTGACTTCTACTTGTCTTGTCACCTTGAGCAAGACATGCAATATCGTCTCCTTGTCTGTTGATGCACAGTAAGGAAGGGGTGATGATGAAGAACACAGTGGTGGCCATCTCTTCAGACGTGCATGGAGTTCCACCCGGAACACAATGGCCATGCCCTGTGAGCAGATGAGCTGCCATGTTTAAATCATTGATTTGATCAGTAGACACCATCATGTCAGAGCACACCGGGGTGCGACCTGAGCTGTGTTCCAAATGTTTAGTATGACATCCTCACCAGGAATCTCTACAGATAACCTTTGAAGAAAAGCAAAAATGGGGGCCCAGCAGTTGGCATGGTGGTTAAGGCTCTGAACTCCCACATGGCCAACTGTAGTTTGAATCCTGGACCTGGCAGTTTACTTTGTTACATTTCCCTTCTCTCTTTTTCTCTGTCTCTCTGCTCAAAAAAAAAAAAAAAAAAAAAGTGGCTAAAAAAAAAAAATTTTTTTACACACTTTTTTTTTTTTTTTTTCACTAGACTCCCGCATGGTTTGGGGTGATTTGGGTCCTAGATCCAATGACTTGAAACTCATGCCAGGTGCATGTGTGTACGTTCCCAGAATTCTGAGAGGAGAATAAAGGAGAGGGGATTGTGGCGTGGCCATCCCCACTAGGGGGTGATTTCTTGCTTTCTGTCTCTGTTTCTTTCTGTCTCTCTAGCAAGCACACATGCCCTACAAAAAATAAAGAAGAGATTCTTGAGGTTTATGGTATTGCTAGAGAGATTCTAGGATAGATATTTTGTAGGTAAATGAATGTAAAAATATATACTAAAAACAAATATGGAAATATGTAAAAGTACATATTTAGAATTATATATTTTTTCTTTTTACTTATCTACTTTTTTTTTTTTTAGATGTTTGCTATGGGACATGTGTGCACAACACAAAGACATAGAGAAAAAGTGAGAAATCACTCCCATGGGTGGGCAACCACACACAACCCCTTCTCCTCCACTCTCCTCTTGGGATTTCGGGCATGCACACACATGCACCTGAAGTGATTTTCAGGCCACCTGGTTCAGGGCTCAAACCACAGTCAACCATGTGGGATCCAGTGAGTTTTAAGTCACTGGATCTGGGACTTGAACCACAGTGGACAATGTGAAAGTCCAGTGACATAGCCATTATGCCATCTGCTGGTTGCAGACATAGTTCTCCTTACTCTGTAGGAGAATACCCCCGAGTGTGCTTACACCGGCTGGCCAAGGGCATCTTGTGTTGTCATGAATGATCAAAACACTCTGGCTTTCATCCACTCGAGTCCCATCACTCACCCACCATGGAGTCCATTTCTTCGACGTTGTCCCCATATAAGCCATGCTTGCTGGTGCCCATGAACTCTTTCGTGGTGGGGAGAGGGACGTGGACGTGAAGAAAGCAGAAAAAGAGGAGAAAAGGTCCTTCGCGGTGCCTGGGAAGACATTGTGGAATACGTCCGTTAAGGGCCGGTGAGCTAAGAGGAAAAGACGGGGACTGGCCATCCTGTTTACCAGTTTGACTGTTTAGCTGACTTTTACAAGCTCTTCTTTCTTTTTTCTTTTTTAATTTTTTGCTCTATCTCACAAGAGAGAGACAGAGACAAAGAGAAAGAGGGAAAGTGAGAAATCACCCCCCACACACAAACAATAGAGATGTCATGTTGTAATCCCTTCTCCTCTCAGGATTTGGGGCATGCATACACATGCGCCCAATGTGATTTTCAAGCCACTCGGTGCAGGACCTGAACCATGCAGTCGGCCATGTGAGATCCAGTGTCTTAACCTCCAGACCACCCACTGGCTCTAATAGACTGTTTCTCATGCTCAATTCAGGTCTGCGGTCTTCCTTAGGTAATGCTGAACAGATAACCGCCATTCTCAATCAGTGACTTCAGATAGCTTCTGCTAATAGACTTTTCTCTAATCCTCTACAGGGCCTCCTCTGTTATCTTTGTTTGGAGTAAACTCTCAGAACAACTTCCATGCATTATATCCTTTTAAAAAATCATCTATAGAGATTTATACATCACAAACTAGTTTTTCAAAGTATGCATGCAGTACATGACAATCAAATCAAGGATATTGTGATAGACATCGTTTTTAACAAAGAACTTTACATTCTTAAGTTTGTTGAGTATCTGTTCTCTGAGCCCCTCACACCCACTCTCTACTATCCACTCCCTTCCCATATCATCTCTTGTAGCTACACTTACCCTCCCTACTATTATAGGATTGGACCTTTCAGTTCTACCATAGAGTGGGGATATACAATCCTTGTCTTTCATACTCTGGCAAACTTGACTTAGCATTAATTCTCCTATATTCATCCACTTTGAATCAAATGACAGGGTCTCAGTGTTCCGTATGGTTGAGGAATATATCATAGTGCATATATGCCACATGTTTTTTTCCAATCCAGTCATCCATTCTTAGGCAATTAGGTGGATTCCATGTCTTAGTCATTGAGAATAATGTCACAATAAACGTGGATGTGCAAAATGTCTTTCTGATGGAGTGTTCTCCTATTCTTTGGGTAAATACCCAAGGGTGGGATTACTGGGTCATATGGTAGTTCTATTTGTAGATGGCATTTGTATGGTGTCCCTTTTAACAATATAAAAAATCATGGCCTTGGGGCCAGCAGGTGGTGTAGTGGTTAAGGACAGTCCTGCCCCATGGCAGATTGCAGTCAAGGCCCAGACCCAGCAGCTTGACAATCACACTGGGTGTGTGAGTGTGCATGTCCAAAATCCTGAGAGAAGGGATTGTAGCATGGTCATCTACCTTTGAAGGGCCGATTTCTCTCTCTCTCTTTCTCTCTCTCACTCTCTTTCTGTTTGTCTTTCTCTCTCTCCAGTGAACACACATGCCCTATGGTAAAAAGAAAAAAAAAAAGAAAGAAGAAAAAGAAAAGAAAAGGAAAAACCCTCACCTTTTCAGGCCAGGGGACATGTTGCCATTCCCACCTGGCCCTGCTGTTGGTAGGGCTGACTGCACACCTCAGGGTCTGATTTGTCTCCGTGTCTTTATTTGATGTAGCTTTGTGAGGCCAATAAGCCTCTTTTTTTTTCAATGACTTTTGTTTTATAGCTTTCTTTTCAGCTTGACAACATCAATGCTTTCACTTTTGAGTTTTCAAAATCCATGAACGTGAATACAATTGTTCTTTGATTCCCTAGCATTGACACAGACATACTCTCCTTCCTTCCTCATGCCTTTATGGGGCAAAGGAGACACATGCAGTAGAATATATTAGGTGAATTCCAAGATCATCTTACATCTGGACAGCTTTCCCCCTCAACTTTAGAGTGAGTTTATCACTGTTCTTTAGATGCTCAGATGCTGGAACATCTGCAGAACTATACTCCAAGCCAAAGTAACCCTCACTGTTATGAGGGCACTAAACATCCAATCCAATTCTGCCTAGCACAGAGTCCCTTAGTTCATTAAGTCTCAGATTCATCACACCCCAAGAGATATTAAGGGATAGTGACCCATGGAGAGTTTCTCAGAAACTTCAACATTTTCACAACCTATGCACAAGCACACACAGAAACTCCTTGTCAGGCAATCTGCACATCATCACTTTTAGGCGTCAGTTACCTGGAATGAGTCTGACTCACTTGGAATTCTGACAATCTACCTGCATGAAAAATAAGTACTCAGAGAACCAGGGATGTACATAAGCTAGATGATGCTCTTTATGCATTCTATCCTTTTTAGAAAAAATTTTGTAGAGATGTATACATCTCTACAGCACACAAAATGGTTTTCCAAAGTATGCATGACAATCAATTCAAGGGTATTGTGATGTAAATGTAAATGTAAAGAATGGAGAAACAGTGAATTAAAAGAGAAAAAAGGGAGCTGTGTTTTGCAGTGTACTTGTAGAATACCATCCCCATAATTTTTTTAAAAAATCTTTTAGGGTTTTGTCATAGAGCCCATGCATTCACCAGAGGGAGGGAGAGAAGGAGGAAAGGAATGAGAGAGGGAAGGAGAGAGAGAGAGGGAGATAGATAGAAAGAGAGAGATAAATCACCCCCAGGGGGGATGGCCACACCACAATCCCATCTCCTCCATTCTCCTCTTGAGATTTTGGGCACGCACACCCGCACACAGGCGCCCGTTGTGAGTTTCAAGCCATTGGATCTGAGACTTAAACCATGGTCGGCCATGTTGGAATCCAGTGCCTTAACCACCATGCTTATCTCCCCAATTTATGCTACTGTGGAGCCTCAGAATGTGAACTTACTTGGAAGTAAGGCCTTTGGAAACAGCACTAGTTAAGATGAGGCCATCCTAGGTCACAGTAAGTCCTAAGTTTAGTGAGGGGAGTCTTTTAAGAGAAGATCCTTAGACAGAAAAGAGGACACATGAAGATGGAGACAGACACACTGGAGTGATGGAACCCCAAGCCAAGGGACCCCCATATTCCCAGAAGGTAGAAGACACAAGAAGGATCTTCTCCTGGAGCCTCAAGAGGAAACACCATCCTGCACTTTAAAGCTTTAATAATAAGTTAGCTTAGAGCCAGCTGGTGGCACGGTGGTTAAGGCATTGGACTCCCAAGAGGCTGGCTGTGCAGTTTGAGTCCCCAACCTGGCAGCTTGAAACTCATGCTGGGCACGTGTGTGTGCATGCCCGAAATCCTGGCAGAATAGAGGAGAAGGGATCGTGGCATGGGCATCTCCACTAGGCGTGGTTTTCCTCACACACACCCGGCATGATTTTCAAGCCGTCAGGTCTGGGACTCAAATGGCAGTCAGCCATGAAGGATCCAGCACATTAACCTCCACGCCACGTGTCAATGGCAGCTTGTCCTTGTCAAGTGCTCACGGGCAGTAGTAAGTCATACACAGTAGGTTTGGTTCGAGGCTTGAGCTGGCTGACGGGACGCAAAGAGGATGACTCATCTTGGACTTTCTGCGGGTTTGATGCGTGTGCAATGCCAATTGAAAACTTGCTGATGGTCTCTTTGTAAAACCAGACACAGTCCTGCTGGTTGGGAAAAGGTACCAGGGAACAGTGGGGTTTTCCCTAAGTGAGGCCAGCCACTGGGTTTGCATCTACGAATGCAAATACAAGCCTCTCTTTCCCATACTTGACAATTTTGTTATCTTAAATTAGGCTGCAGGTCAACAACAAAGCTATTTGTCAGGTTATACCAGATGCTTGACATTCTCAAGAAACGCTTCTAAAGCTTTTTTTTTTTTTTTTTAAGAGAAATTTTTGCTAAAGGTGTGAGCACTCACCAAAAGACAGAGAGACGGAACGTGAGAAATCCCCCCCAGGGGCGATGGCCACGCCACAATCCCTTCTCCTCCATGTTCCTCGCTCCTGAAATCTAATATCAAGGGGTCAGCTTTTCTTATGACGGCTCCTGTCTGGAATTCCTAGGCCAGCAAGAACCAATCGCTCACATTTCCCTTCAAACACTTTTCTTCTCTGAGCACCTCTGACAGCAAGACCTGAAAACTCCTTTCTTGTATTGTTTTTACAACTTCTGCCACTAACTCTGAACTTATCCTTAAAGTGCAAATTCTGGGATGGCTGTCAGTAAAGGTCAAGCATCAATCAATGTTGGAAGAAAAATGTGCCTTCCCTGGTCTTTTCCTAAAGAAGGACCAACATCTATAGAACGGTCAATGCAGTTCTCCAGGAAACCTTACAGCCCTGTGTCCAAGACATGTCCAATTTTATATTGATGATCATTGGCTGCCCATTTCACCTAATTATTACCTCTTACATATCACATGCTTAAAAAAAAATACCATCTGCTTTTTAATTTTCGATAGGTTTTTGCCCTAGGGTGGAGTGTGTGCGCTCACCAGAGAGAGAAAGAGAGAGGAAACGTGAGAAATCACCCCCAGAGAGGATGACCTCATCTCAATCCTCTCTCCATTCTCCTCTCAGGTTTTTGGACACACACATACACATTCATGGTGTGGTTTTCAAGCCACCGGGTCTGGGACGTCCTGCACCTTAACTACCTTAGCTACTGACCCCAACACATTCTGTTTTTAATTTCCTAAGTAGATCTTTCTCTACCAGGAAGATCATGTGCTAACCCACATATTCTATTTTCTAGTGTCCTGACAAATTTATTTTCCATTGTCAATGAATATGCTGACAGTATGCCTTGTAATTGTTTTAAAATAATTATTTAATTTTCCTTATTTATTATTACTATTTTAAAAAATTTGCCCAGAGAGACAGAGAGAGAGAGAGAGAGAAAGAGGGAAAGTGAGAAAGCAAGCCTTCAGGTCCATGACTCAAACCATGGTCAGCTATGGGGGAGTCTGGTGTCTTTTCTACCATGTAACCTGCTGGCCCAACTCAAATTTCCTGTTTCTTAAAGAAATGCCATTCTTGGGCTAGCAGGTGGCGTGGTAGTTAAGGGCACCGGTCTCCCATATGGCTGACTGCGGTTTGAATCCTGGACCTGGCAGTTTACTTTCTCACTTTCTTTCTCTCTCTTGCTTTATCCCTCTCTGGTCAAATTTAAATAAATAAATACACACATACACAAATAAAGTTAAAAAAAAAAAAGAAACACCATTCTTTTCTTTTAGAGAGAGAGATTTTGGTTATAGGGTGCATTCACTCACCAGAGAGGCAGACAGAGACAGAGAGACAGAAAGTGAGAAATCAGCTCCTGGTGGGTGGAGGGGAATGGCCACACCACAATCCCTTCTCCATTCTCCTCCTGGGATTTCAGGCATGCACACACATGAACCCGGCATTAGCTTTAAGTCCCCGGGTCCAGGATTCAAACCATGGTTAACTATGTGGAATTAGCACCACGTGCTGCTCCCAAAGCCGCATTCCCTTGGCACGGTGACATGGATGCGCCGCTGCCGCCTGTACCTTTCTAGGAACGAAAGCGCTTCTTTGACCATGATGGAGCCGGCGCGCTCAGCCTTGCTGGGCTGCTCGGTGATGTCGTGTCCCCGCATGAGTAGGCAGTCCCAGTACAAGGCGGACGAGTAGCTGGAGAACCAGCAGTAGGCCAGGAGGAGGACGAACAGGACCATGGCGAGGAGTACGGACCAGGGGATGCAGATCCAGCCACTCAGCTTCCCCAGGGCGAGGGTGAGCACGGCCAGGCCGACCAGCTGCACACACACCCAGAGTTTACTCGTGATGGCCAGCTCCGTGTCACGCGAGGGGTCTGGCCAGCAAGGCGGTGTAAGGGTGAATGGCATTCCATAGTAGTAATCAAACCCATAGTGGTATGGGTGGTGGCAGTGGTCACTCCGTGAGTAACAGTTTAACCCCTGGTGCCATTTGCCTGAAATTCAAACACACGCAGAAGAATAAAGCACAGCACGGTCTCACGTGACAAAGAACGTCTGATCGTTTTTCATGGGGAACACCTAAGGAACCAAAACTAACCGGCAGATAGAGTTTTTAAAAGAATTATTTATTGAGGGCCAGCAGGTGGTGTAGTGGTTAAGATGCTGGACTCTCATGTGGCCAATTGTGGTTTGAGTCCTGGACTTGGTGGTTTGAAATTCATACGAAGCGCGTGTGCGTGCGTGCCTAAAATCCAAAAAGGAGAATGGAGGAGAAGGGATTGCAAGGTGGCCATCCCCTTTCGGGGGGGTGACTTCTCATTTTCTATCTCTCTGTCTCTTTCTGTCTCTCTGGAGAGTGCACGTGTCCTGTAGCAAAAACCTCTCTCTCAGAAAATAAAAAGAATGATTTATCTAGTTTTCTCTCTTCCTTTCTCTTCGTTCCTTTATTTCTTTCTCTCTCTCTCCCTCTCTCCCTCCCTTCCTTCCTTCCTTCACTTTTAATTTGCTATAGGGCACACGTGCTCTTACCAAAGAGAAAGCATGAGAAAGTGAAGTAAGCCACCCGAATCCGGGACTCAAACTGTGGTCTGCCATGGGGCTATCCAGTGCCTCAACGACCATACCAGCTGCTGGCTCCACCAGCTGATATTTTTCCTTTGCTTAAAAAGAGAAATCAGAGGAAAGGAGAAAAAAAATGAAACTTTTTTTTAAAGGTTTTGGCTGTAGGGTGTGTGTATTCTCAGGAAAGGAGAGAGACACGGAAAGTGAGAAATCCTCCTCCCCCCCCCACCCGAGAGGGTGGCCATGCCACAATCCCTTCTCCATTCTTCTCCTGGGATTTTGGGCATGCATGCACAAACGCCTGGCCTAATTTTCAAGCCACAGCATCCGGGATTTGAACCATGGTTGGCCCTATGGAAATCCAGCACCTTAACCTTCATGCCCCCTGCTGACCCCCAAAACAAATCATCTAATGGACACAGAAATGGAAAGTTACATGTTGATGATGTGGTGTATGATAATATCTTTGACTAGATTAATACACTAGGTATTCATGCTGCGAAAAATCATTTCCTATGCTATAAAGATGTGCAATGATTAAAAGTAAAAATAAATTTTAAAAATTAATTATTATTATTATTATTAGTTTTTTTGCCTTAGAGCATGTATGCTTACTAGAGAGAGAGACAGACAGACAGACAGACACAGTAAGAAGGAAAGTGAGAAATCACCCCACCCCCTACGAGGGATTGCTATGCCACAGTCCCTTCTCTTCTATTCTCTTCCTGGGATCTTGGGCTCATGTGCACACATGCCCAGCATGAGTTTCAAGCCACCATGTCCAGGATTCAAACTGTGATTGGCCATGTGGGAGTCCAGTTACATATCCGCTATGCCATCTACTGGTCCCTAATGGATTTTTTTAGAGAGAGATTTTTGTTATAGGACGCATGCACTCACTGGAAAGATAGAAAGACAGAAAGTGAGAAAGTACCCTCCCGGGGATGTGGGCCATGCTGCAATCCCCTCTCTTCCCTTCTCCTCTTGGGATTTTGGACACACATGCACACGCAGTCATGGAAAACCACATGGGAGCCTAGCAATGTAATCATGATGCCATTTAATTTTTAAACATCTAAATGCAGAATAAGTCTTACTTTCCCCTTTTCCATAGTTCACAGAATCCTTTTGTGGCCATATCTGGTTGCAAGAAACAGGATAGACAGAGGGGACAGATGACGGTAGAGATGGTAATGAAATGCTCTGAGGCTGACCCACATGAAAAGGACCTGGGTTCACATCCCAGGTTCACACTGCACATCCAAATTGATGATTCAGGCTGGTCGGGACTGGGGGCAGCTCATAGCATGAAGCCCCACTGGGCGTGCCTCTGTCTTACTACCCCTCTCTGTGGAACATGGACATCAATACACGTTTTACCAAGTAAAATAAAGGGAACTTGTAGTAAGGATGTGAATGGGAAGTTTTGCGTTAGTAAAGCAAAGTTCTAGCCCCAAAGTTTGATGTAGCATAAATATAGGGTAGATTACAGGTGTGGATGGATGGATAGGTAGAATAGGTGATGGACGTGTGGGTGAACAGTGCACAGACAGAAATAATATAGATATGTAACAGGCAGCTAGAGTTGAGAGACAGACGGATGGATGGATAGATAGAGAGAGAGAGAGAGAGGCAGGATCTAACTGATACATGGAAGAAGGACCAGCAGCTGGCTGACCACTGTCCAAGTCCTGAACCTTGTGGCTTACTTTCTTAGTCCCCTCACTTCTGTGAGTATACATACTTTATAGCAAATAAAAAATGAATAACAGTAAATAAATAATTCTAAAAATGGAATCTTTTCTAGAGATTTTTGCTATAGGGCCTGTGCATCCACCGGAGAGACAAGAGACACAGAAAGAGAGACAGAAAGTGAGAAATCACCCCCTGTCCCCCAAAGGGGATGACCACACCACAATCCCTTCTCCTCCTGGGGCTTTGGGTACACACACACACATGTGCCTGGCATGAGTTTCAAGCTGCCTAGTCTGGGTCTTGAATCACGGTTTGTCATGTGGGAGTCCAATGGCGTAACCATTACACCATCCACAGGTCCCTCCAAAAATATTTTGAAATAAAGGATTTCCAGGAAAAATAATAAGCCCAGGATAGAACACGGGGTGTTATTACTTACAACCAACGAATAACCCGAGGACTGAGTCTTACCTATGAGTGCAGTACTGTATCCTTGGTTTTTCAGTAAGGCTGCAAAGGTGGTTTCATTACGAGGCAGTCCTGCAGGGACTCCAAGGCTTTCAACGACACGGTCAAGGTTGTCAGACACCATACCTAAATGTCATGCATCGGGGAGGAAAAAGCACAATACGTAGGTGCTGCTGTGGAATGAATGCTTATGTCTCTACAAAAGCCATATGTTGAAATCCTAACTTCTGAGATGATGGTTATAGGATTGGGGGGGGGAGCCTTTTGTAGGTGGTTAGTTATGAATGAGATGACTGCCCTGATAAAATTGACCTCAGAAATCTCCCTTGTCCCTCCACCATGTGAGCACAGAGAAGGCACCATCTATGAACCAGGAAAGGAGTCCCACCAGATGCAAAATCTACACCACCTGAAACTTGGACTTCCACCCTCCAGAACTGTGAACAATCAGTGTCTGTTGTTTAAGCCCCCAGCCTCTGGCATTTTTCATCATAGTAGCCCAAATGGACTGACAAAGGAGTCCCCACCAGATGCAAAATCGACATCGCCTGAAACTTGGACTTTCACCCTCCAGAACTGTGAACAATCAGTGTCTATTGTTTAAGCCCCCCAATCTCTGGCATTTTTCATCATAGTAGCCCAAATGGACTGACAAAGGAGTTCCCACCAGATGCAAAATTGACACCACCTTTTGAAACTTGGACTTCCACCCTCCAGAACTGTGAACAATCAGTGTCTGTTGTTTAAGCCCCCCAACCTCTGGTATTTTTGCCATAGCAGCTCATATGGACTGCTCCAAAGTCAGCCGTGACACTGACAGCCAGTAGGTTGGCACCTGGGACTTTGTCCTGTCTCACAGAACGACTGTCTGGAAACCTTATCATTCGGCATTGGCCGGAGATGATCTTCCTTAGCATGAGACAAGCCAGATACCATAAACCACATGAGGTACAGAAGCTTTGCCTGTCTGCCTCAAAAGTTCAAAGGTCTTCCCAATCTTGACTTGTAATGAGTCTTGAGTTCTGGACTCTGCATTGCATAGACCATGACCTCTTTTTTTTAAAAAAACTTATTTTTATTTACATTTCATTGATGTGGATGAGCCTTGACCATGTTGTGCTCAGTGAAAGTCACAAAAGCCCATGTGGTATGAGATTCCATTTACACAAAACATCCAGAATACATAAATCTATACAGGCAAAGCAGAGATTAGTGGTTGCCAGGGAGAGGGGGATGGGAATGAGCTCTTGTTTTGAGAATGGAAATATTTTGGAAGCAGAGAGAGGTGATGGTTACGACATTGTGAAAGTGTTCAAGGCCAACGGTTGTGCACTTTAAAATAGTTACTTTTAAATTTATTTACTTATGTATTTATTTATTTTTTACTTTGCTACAGGGCTTCCAGGCTCACCAGAGAGAGAGAGAGAGAAAAAGAGAGAGAAAGAAAATGAAAAACCAACCCCCTGGGAGGGTGTGGCCATGCCACAATCTCTTCTCCTTCATTCTCCTCTCAGGATTTTGGGAATGCACACACACACGCCCAGGATGATTTTTAAGCCATTGGGTCTGGGGTTTGAGGCACAGAGTTGATCATGTTGAATCCAGCTGTCTCAACCAACATGCCACCTGGCTGGTCCCTAAAACAGTTACCTTGGGGCCAGCAGGTAATCTGATGGTTAAGGCACTGGACTCCCATGCAGTTGACAGTGGTTCGAGCCCCGTACCCTGCAGCTTGAAACTCAGATCAGGCACCTGAGTACGTGTGTGCCCAAAATCCTGAGAGGAGAATGGAGGAGAAGGGATTGTAGTGTGGCCACCTCTGCTGGGGGAGTGATGTCTCACTTTCTGTCTCTCTGTCTCTCCAGCAAGGGCATGTGCCCCGTAGCAAAATCTCTAAAAACAAAACAAAACTAACCAGTTACCTTTCTGTTATGCAAACTTTACCTTCACTAAACAAGAGAGAAAAGAATGTGACCAGGACAGAACAGCTAAAGCATAGGGTAATTTCCTCCCCCCGATTCTCTCATCCTTTGTCCTATCCTTGAATTGCGTGGAGCAAAGTCAGTGCTGTTGTTTCTTGGGATAAACCGTGATGAGCAACGTCTGGGACGTTCTGCGAGCCGTTTTCTGGTGACGAACCCATATGTCCAGACATGTTCTGCTCACCGTTGCCATGCCGCTTGTCCTGAGAGGAAAGGTCAGGCCGCACCCAGCAGGAGCTCAGAAGAAGCTCCCTGTCTGTCTTGCAACGTGTGAACATGACAGACTGATCTTGTCACCAGGGACTCCTGTGCTCTGCCCTGGAGCTGTGTACGGCCGTACGTGTGTGTGTGTGTGTGTATCTGCGTGTATGTGTATACATATATAGACATCTTATTTCCTCTTATTCTTGTTTTTGTGATTGGCAAGAGGGCACGTGAGCTTGCCAGAGAGGGTCAGAAAGAGAGAGAAAGAAAGAGGGAAAGTGAGAGAGAAACCACCTCTTCCAGGGGGGATGGTCACGCCACAACCCCTTCTCCATTCTCCTCTCGGGATTTTGGGCACCCATGCCGGGCGTGTTTTTTCTTTTTTGTTTCAGTTTTTTATATAGGGCACATGCACTCACTAGAGAGAGGCAGGAGGGAACCAGGGAGGGGAAGAGAGAAATCACCCCCTGGCCATGCTGCAACCCTGTCTCTGGATTTTGGACATGCGTGCTCACACACGCCTGGTGTGTGTTTGAAACTGCCGGTGTGCACTCAAAGGGCATAGTCCGCCATGCGGGATCCAGACGCCTTAACCTCCACACCATCTGCTGGCCCCGTGTTTGAGTACAGGGCCAGCAGGTGGAGGGACTGGACTCCCACATGGCCGACTACAGTTCAAGTCCCACACTTGGTGGCTTGCTTTCTCACTTTCTCTCTCTCTGATGAGCATACGTGTTCCATAGCACAAATTAAAAATAATAATACTGATAAAATTAAATAAAGAATTCTTTCTAAAAAAAAAAAAAAGGAACAGCAGGTGGCAACGTCGAACGTAATGGATACAAGATAAAGGACAAACATGTGGCACCTTCCGAATTCACATAACTGCTAATCCTTTTTAAATGAGCCGTCTCGGTGCAGCAATATTCCACAGGACATACTTCAGAGGGAGAAAAAAATTACTGTATTTTTTCCTAGAGTACAGTTTGCTTTAATACAAAACCCTAAGACACTTTTGCTAAAACAGAAGTTTTTTTCACATAAAATAAATGTGCACGGACACACATTGGTAAGCATTTCATAAGTTGTCTAGTCTAGCTCTATAATAATAGGACTCTGAATCTGTTAAGACCAAGTCACTAACATATCTCCTTTCCAGAAGGCCATTGTGAGTGCCTCCTCCTCAAGGCAGAGAATGAACCCTTCGAGTTTTGCAGAAGTCAAATATCCCTTTGTCTTGGGTACAGATATCTATTAAGTCATCGGGAAAGTCATGACGTACTTCTCTGTTTTCCTATGCACAGATGTGTCATGACTTTCCTGACAACCCAATATCACAAGAGACAGAAGCTCTTATCTGGCTGATCCAGCCATGGTTTTCTTCTGGTCCAGTCAGAATGAAAAGGTGACTTCCGCTATGCATCATTTTGTTGTTGATCTAACACTGAATAAAAAATAAACATGCACTTAATTAATAGCAAACACTTTTTAAGAGAGATCTTTATCTGGTGAGTGTACACTCACCAGAGACACAGAGAGAGAGACAGAGACAGAAAGCGAGAAATCCCCCCCCCCCCCAGGAGGGATGGCCATGCCGCAATCCCTTCTCCTCCATTCTCCTCTCGGGATCTTGGGAATGCACACACATGTGCCCGGCGTGAGTTTAAGCTACCGAATCCGGGACTCAAACCACTGCCAACTACATGGGAGTCTAGCATCATAGCCATTACGCCACCTGCTGGTCCCACTTTTTTTTTAAGGGAATTATTTTATTGAACTTTATTTATTCATTCATTCATTTATTTATTTTAATTTGACCAGAGAGACACACAGGGAAGTAGAGAGAGAGAGAAAGGAAGTGAGAAAACAAGCCCCCAGGTCCAGGACTTGAATCATGGTCGGCCATGTGGGAGTGTCCAGCGCCTTAACCACCACGCCACCTGCTGGTCCCTAAATGTCAATTAAAAAAAAAAATCTGTTGGGCCAGCCTGAAGGTGCTGGATTGCACACGGTCAAGTGAGTAGGTCAAGTCTTAGATCGGGCAGCTTGAAACTCACACCGGGTGCATGTGTGTGCATGTGTGTGCATGCCCCAAAACCTGAGACAGCAATATGGAAGAAGGTCATTTCCCCCGAGGGTAACTTCTCACTTTCCCTCTCTCTGCCTCTCTTCCACGAGTGCACGTGCCCTGTGGCAAAATAAAGAATTAAACAAAAACCAAACCCCTCATAGATAAATCATTGTCCATGATGATAGCCTGCATTGTAGAGGACTCCTGATACCTCGTGTGGTCGGGAAAGTGATGATGCATTTTGGGATTGGAAAACATAGAAGAATACATCGTGACTTTCCTGGTCACCTAATTCTAAATCCATTCTGTTCTTACGGCTTTGTATGCAATAGCTCGGAGAAATACAGTATTCCCTCGCGTTCCACGGATGGAAGAACATGAGGGTCCAGAGTGGTGAAGTCACTTCTCTAAGACCTCACAGTTCCTAAGTACAGAGCCGAGACCCAACTACCAAGAACCCTGCTTTTAATACGACTAGCTTCTTTGTTTATTTCTTTACTAAGGTTTTTGCCACAGGGGACATGTGCTCGCCGGACAGAAAGTGACAGAGAGACAGAAAGAGGGAACATGCGAAATCACCCCCCAGGGGAATGGCCACCCTATTGTCCCTTCCCCTCCATTCTCCTCCTGGCATTTGGGGTATGCACACACTCGGACCTACTGTGACAATTCAAGTCACTGGATCCAGGACTCAAACCGTGGTCAGCCCCGTGGGAGTCCAGCACCTTAACTACCATGCCATCTGCTGGCCCTTTACTTAATTCTTTAAGTTAAAAAAGAAATAAATCACAAGGCCAGGGGGACCAGCAGGTGGTGTAATGGCTATGCCGCTGGACTGCCCTGGAGTGGACCGTGGTTCGAGTCCTGGACCTGGCGGCTTAAAGCAAGACTCGAGAGGAGAATGGAGGAGAAGGGACTGCAGTATGGCTATTCCCTGGGGCATGAGTTCTCGCTTTCTGTCTCTCTCTGTCTGGTGAGCGCACACGCCCTATAGCAAAATCTCTCTCAGAAAAGAAAAGAAAAAAAACCACAGGGTTGGCAGGTGGTGTGGTGGATGAGGTGCTGGATTCCCACACACCCATTCATGGTTCCAGTCCCAGACCTGGTGGCTTATTTCTGCATTTTCCCCTTCTCTCTCTCTCTACTCTCTGGTCAAAGTAACAATAAATTTAATAACAATAATAAATGGAAGTGTGGTAGTTGAGGTGGCTGGACCTGGGTTCGAATCCCAGACCTGGCAGCTTGATTTCTCACTTTCCTTCTCTCTTTGTGACTCTCTCTGGTCAAATTTAAAAAAAATAAATAATTAAAATAATGACAATGCATAACATTACATAAAATAATTTTAAAAATAACAAAGGGAATGAAATAAATTAATACTTATTTAAGAAAGCGACAAGGACTCTGGTTTTGCACGTAGACAGTGTCAGGCCACGCGCCCCCCGAGGCTGGGAAAAGCCTGCTCCCACGTGAAGCCCCACCTTATGGTGTCGTTGCCATAGCAGCCGAGATCGCCGATGCCCAGGTCGTCGACTAAAAAGAGGACGATATTCGGCTTGTCTTGGCTCTCCCCGTGGGACCGGCCGGTGTTCATGAGCACGCATACCAGCGACAGGAAGACGAACCTGCCCCTGAAAGACACGCGAGGACAGGGCTGGAACCACTGCTGGTCTAGACGCCTTAGGACCCATGCCCAGCACCATCTTCCCCAAGCATGAGAAGGCTCGCTGGGGACCACGGAGTGACCCACGGGGCAGCTGACGTTCATCAAGGTTTGTCTCGGAGCGTCTGCCGTGGCTGGGGAGAAGTTTCATTAGACCCGGATTGTCTTTGTTTTTGGAGGAGTTTTTGTTACAGGGAACGTGAGCTCACCAGAAAGACAGAGAGAGACAGAGAGACAGAAAGCGAGAAATCACCCCCAGGGGGGATGGCCATGCCACAATCCCTTCTCCTCCATTCTCCTCTCAGGATCTTGAGCACACACACACACATGCACCCAGCATGAGTTTAAGCCACCGGGTCCGGGACTCGAACCGTGGTCAACTACATGGGAGTCCAGTGACATAGGCTTGACGCTAACTGCTGGTCCCTAGACTTGGCTTCTCAACTTCTGTAAGAAAGATACTGACCCAGTAAATGAAAATGATAACACAGAGACTCACAGGGAAAGCCTCCCAGGGTCAACAAGAGATTTGGCTGAGGTTCAGACCCTGGCAGAAGAAGACTGATGGCTTTCATTCACCTTATCATTGTTAGTATTGCTATGATTTTTTGGTTTTACTATAGGGAGTGTGCACTTGATGGAGAGAGATAAAGAGAAGGAGAGACAGAGACACGGAGAGAGAGAGAGAGAGAAACAGAGAGAGAGGGAAAGTAAGAAATCACCCCCCGGGGGGATGGCCACACCACAATCCCTTCTCCATTTTCCTCTCAGGATTCGAGGCATGAACATACATGTGCCCTACATGTTCTGCAAGCCACCAGGGCTGGGACTGGAACTGCAGTCGGTCATGTGGGATCCAGCCGCCTTCACTACCAGGCCGCCAGGCAGGTTCTCAGTCACTCTTTTTATTTCTTTTTAAATAATTCTTTTATTTAACGTCATTACATTTATTTATTTATTTTACTTTGACCAGAGAGAGACAGGGTGTGTGAGAGAGAGAAAGAGAGAAAGAGAGACAGCAAGCCACCAGGTCTGGGAGTCCCCCTGGGGGAAAATTTCTCGCTTTGTCTCTCTCCCTCGCTCTCTCTGTGTCTCCCTCCAACAAACAGACATGCCCTCTAGCCAAACCAACATTTCTTTAAGAATTCTTTTTCCTTAACTTTATTTAGTTAGTTCATTTATTTTAATTTGACGAGAGACGGACAGAGTGAGAGAGAGAGAAAGCCAGCTGCCAGGTCCGGGACGTGAACCACGTTTGGTCCCGTGGGAGTCCAGCACCCTTAACCACCACACCACCTGCCAGCTCCATCTAGCAAAAAAAAATTTTTTTAAATCATATTGCATACCATAAATGTCAATTTAAAATTTTTTCCATTGAAAAATACAATGTATGATGATGCAAACAGATGCGTGTGGATAGCAGCTTCACTGATGGGACATTCTCTTTGGGAAAAGACAAGCACACAGAATGTGAGCAGCGAGTACAGGAAAACAAGGGTGTGAGCGAAGAACGGGGTTTGGGAGAGGAAGGAGCCATGGACGTGAAGAGGAGCCGAGGGTGCTTCCGAACCCACGGAGTCCTGACTGAGTTCCGTGTCCTCCAAGACACGCACGGCCCCTTTGCTTACCGGGTCCCGAGTGGAATATCGGATGATGAACACAGACGTTTGGGTTACGGGTCTAGCATTCCTTCTTCTCTATTCCTGCTTTTAAATCCACCTTCAAGAGTGGATACTGATAGCCATTGACCTCCCCATCGCGCAATCTACTCCCAGCTCCCAGACCTTGTTTTGTTAAGAGATTTTTGTGGGGACCAGCCAGTGGCGTGGTGGTTAAGGCATTGGACACTCCCACATGGCTGACCAGGGTTGGAGTCCCGGACCTGGCGGCTTGCTTTCTCACTTTCTCTCTCTCTGTCTCTGTCTCTGGTCAAATGAAAATACATGAATCAATCAATAAAAAAAATAAATAACTAAAAAAAAGATTTTCGTTATAGAATATGTGCACTCGCTAGGGAGACAGAGAGACAGAAAGTGAGAAGTCACTCCCTGGTGTGGATGGTCCTTCTGCACTCCCTTCTCCTCCATTCTCTTCCCGGGATTTGGGACATACACACACACACACACACACACACACACACACACACACGCTCCTGGCATGAGTTTTAAGCTGCCAGATCCGGGACTTGAACCATGGTCAAGTGCCTTAATAGCTACTCTATCTGCTACAACCCCCAACCCAGACCCTTTTTATCAATACTCCGGAACAAAGTTGGCCAAGAGAGATGGCAACTCATTGCTTTAGGTGCATTTTACAGATAAGAATTTGAACGCCTTGACGCCTTGCAGGCAGGGATCTAAGTATTTCCATCACGATGATCCCAGAAATGCCCTTCATCTGGCCAAAGTTGGACGATGACTTCATTGTCACCTGTTTGGACCCTCATTGTAAACGATATCCAAGCATCGCAATGTACAGTTCATATTCTAGTCATCATCTAAGTCTCTCTCTCTCTTTAATCATTGACTCAACGCAGAATTTCCACCTAGACATTTTACATCCTGGTCAAAAAAACCCCTGCAACTTACCATCAGGTGCTTCCGTGAGGAAGGCTGAGCTGACACATGACAGCAAATTACTTAGGGCGCGCGATGCGCTCGCAGTAGCCCTGGCGGCAACTCCTTACCTGCCTGGCATCGTGGAACTCCACGGAGCTTCCGCGTGTCTTCGGCAGAAGGTGAAGTCTTGAAGGGGGGAAGAAAATAAAATGAAGAAATGTCAGCCTGACGTTTAGCAATGCCCTGATGCGTGGCATCGTGAAATTCTCTCCAGTGTCTGGAGACAGTCACTCTGACTTCTCGTCTTGGAAAGCGTGGCTCTCCAACGCTGTCCCTGCGCAAACCCTCCATTCCCAAGGTGTGTGCGCTGATGGTTTTGAACAAGTGCTGAGGCTTACCTGGCTCCCTCCGGAGCTTAGATTCCCCTCCTCCGTCCCTAAGCCAACAACAGACAAGCCCAGACGAGAAGGGAGTCGCAGGTATGTGCCCAAAAGAAGGATTCACACTTAGAACGTCTACACGGGGTGCATTCAGATCGCCCGAAGGCAAGCGTCAACTGCAGCAGATGTGCCACTTGGCAGCTCTGCACAGCACCCTAGGGTCCTCTCGGGATGACGGTGCTTACATAAGCTCCGGAGGAGGGGTTCTATGATCAACTGATGGGACGGCAAAATTTATTGCCGCACAGAAAGATGAAACTTTTTTTTCCCCTTAGTGTTTGCTATAGGGCACATGTACTCACTGGGGAGAGACAGAGAGAGAGAGAGAGAGAGAGAGAGAGAGAGACAGAAAGTACCTCCCAGGAGGGTTGGCCACACCACAGTCACGTCCCTTAACGTCCTGCCCTTGGGATTTTGGGCACACATGCACATGTGCCTGGCATGACTTGTGTTGTTGTTGTTCTTCTAGAGAGAGATTTTTGCTATAGGGTGCATGGGCTCACCAGAGAGACAGAGAAACAGAAAGCAAGAAGTCACCTCCTCCCCCCCCACCAGGGGAGATGGCCACGCCACAATTCCTTCTCCTCCATTCTCCTCTCGGGATCTTGAGTGTGCCCGGTGTGAGTTTAAGCTGCCGGGCCTGGGACTTGAAACATAGTTGACTACATGGGAGTCCAGCAACATAGCCATTATGCCGTCTGCTGGTCCTACCTTAACCTCCAGGTCATCTGATGCCCTTCTTTGTTTTCCTGTTTTGCTGTAGGGCATGTGTGTTTGCGAGAGAGAGAGAGAGAGAGAGAGAGAGAGAGAGAGAGAGAGAGAGAGAAAGCGTCCCTACGGGCATGGCCATGCCGCAATCCCTTCTCCATTCTCCTGTTAGGATTTTGCACATGCATGCACATGTGCCTGGCATGTTTTTCAAGACACCCAGTCCAAGACTCAAACCACACAGTAGGCCACGTAGGATCCAGCTTCCTTAACTATCACACCACCTGGCTGGCCCCCAAAGCTTTTTGTTTAGCGTTTATTTCATTAACTTTCTCCATGAGTGACAAAGACAGACAGAGAAAGGGCCTTCAACGAGGTCTTGATGCCGCAACCCACTCCAGGCGTAGCCAGCTCTGGATCATGGGCATGCGTGTGCTTGGCGTGCTCACGAGGGGTCTCTACATGCTTCTACATATCTGGGGCCTTTCCAAGTAAGTCAGCCCTGCAGAGCGTTGTGTTCCAGCCGTGCAATTGTCTTGCCCCAGAAAGCCCTTCTCCAGCCTGCAAACTGTTACCTATTCTTGGACCTTAGCACCAAGACAGGGCCAGCAGGTGGTCTGATGGTTGGGGCACTGGATACCCACATGGCTGATTATGGTTCAAGTCCTGGACCTGGCAGCTTGCTTCCTCACTTTCTCTCTCCCTCTCTCTTTCTCTCTCTGGCAAGTGCATGTGCCCTGTAGCAAATTAAAGCAATCATAATAAATAACATTCAATAACTAATTCTTTAAAAACATAATAATACCAACAGGGCCAGCCACGTAACCTAGCGGTGAATGGAGCTGAGTCTCCCATGGTGGACCGGAGCGATTTCATCTTTAGTCCTTGAAAGCATACCATGAAGATGTGCACGTGTTCCCCAAGTCCCCACAGGATGGACAAGTGGAGGAGAGGGGACCAAAGCCTAACCACACCCCACTGAGAGGTTGTCTTTCTCTGTCTCTCTGTGTCTCTCTTGGGCAATGGCATGCATGCTCTGGAAATCAACAAATAATAATAGCAAAGAACAGTTTTGAACCTCCTCCTCTATAGACCCTCTTTCGCAAAAGCAGGCATCCTGCGGGCACCAGCCGCACCCACCTACGCGGAAAGAGTTCTTGGCTAAGAAAGGAAAGGAAGAGAGTGGAGAACAGCAGGAAGAAGAAAGGGAGACAAGAGGGGGGAAAGGGAGGAGAAAAAGAAGCAACCCCAAGTTGCATTGGCGTGGTTCTCCATGCCTGAGCTGATGTATTAAGTTCGCTCTATTTTCATTCTTTTATTAGCTAGAGGGTGTGTGTGCGTGTGCTCACCCGAAGGAGACAGACAGGGAGAGAGGCTGAGAGCGGGACACATCCCCCTACGAGACACGGCCATGCTGCAATCCCTTCACCTCCATTTCTCCACCTTGGGGAGATCTGGGGCGTGCACACACGCACATGTGTCTGGCGTGTTCCTCAAGCCACGATGACCGGGATTCAAGTCTCGCAGTGGGCCATGCGGGATCCGGCTTCCTAAACCCCCTGGCCCTGGCCTGACCCGCCGAGTTCTAGCCGGCCAAAGGAAACTTGGACAGATCAAGACCCCGTCCCAGCCAGGGAAATTAGAAGACAGGCGAGCACTCCCCAGCCTTCCCCACCCACCTGTCTGCCGGGGCAGTCTCTGATGTCTACGGCGGAGACGGAGCGCCGGAGCTGCTGGCTCTCCTTGCAGCCTCCGGAACGTACCTGCAGGATGTTCCCCTTCCCTGTGGCACCTGTCTTGACAGTCCTCGGCCGGCCCCGATGACTCATACGTCCAACGTGCAAATGATGCAATCGGGTCTCGGCGACTTACGGCTCCTGGGACAATTCCGGGGGTAAAAAAAAAAAAATGTTCAGCAAAACGGGCGTCAGCTGGCTTCTGTGCAGCCCCTGGGATGAATCTTCTTATCAGACTAGCAGCTGTCAGAATGACTCACGTGGCTGACATGAGACAGGTTCTCCTGGGGAGGGCGATTTCCAGCGGTGTCATAGTACCTGAAATGTGTCACCTCATGGAAGGACAGAGAAATAACACATTTCTCCTGTATGTGTGGCTTTTTCATTTCTTTTTTTCAAAATAATTTTTTAAGTTTTATTTATTCATTCACTGATTTTAATTTGACCAGAGAGAGACAGAGAGTGAGAGAGAGAGGGAAAGCGAGAAAGCAAATCTCTAGGTCCAGGACTCGAATCATGGTTGCCCATGTGGGGGTGTCCAGCACCTTAACCACCACACAGCCTGCTGGTCCCAAAATTTTGTGCACTTGCTAGAAAGACAGAGAGAGACAGAGAGACAGAAAGTAAGGAATCACCCCCCCCCAGGGAGGATGGCCACGCTGCAATC